ATTGACCTCCACCACTGAAAAGGACAAGGGCAACAGATGCATGGGAACACCATTGCTGGCATATTTGCCCCCCAACCCCCATTATCTGTGTCATACATAGATCAAAACCCGGAAACTCTCTTTCTAACAGCAATCTGCCTCCACCAAGATGGTGGCAGCAAAGTTGCAGTGTTCAGGGGTGAATCCTTAGCCAGGGCTGGTCCGCTTCCATATGGCTTTCTTTTATTTTCATTCTTTTACTTTGCTGTTTTGTTTCTTTTCGGCTGTGATCTTCTTTCCAGAGTGTTGGCTCTGGCAGGAGTGGTTTTGCCCCAGAGTGTAGGCAGCGGTGGGTTTCTTTGCTGAGGTGGCAGCGGCAGCAACGTAAGCCAGAATGAGGCACCAGCTGTTTTGGTGTGATGGGCCCAGTTCGGTACCCGGCAGCTTCAGCAGCGGCTGCATTGCTGAAATCGACAATATCGCTGGAGGCAAGATGGCGAAACGGTTCCAGCAGCGGGGGGGGGGGGGGGGGTGGCTCCAGGGCATGGATGGGCCCAGATATCCGATGGCAAAAGCGGTGGTGTTTCGGCTGTGGTGACCCGGGGCACTTGAGTGTTCGCAGACTGTGGGATGGATTTTGTCAATCTTCTGTATTATTGGAGACTGGCACCATGGCATTGGGTTGCTGACCTGAAGTAGTCGTACTGAATTTCCCATCAAAATTGGAAAAGTAATGTACCTGATCTTTGAAAGTAAGGTCCACCCTTACGTGTGCAACATAAATGCAATATTGATAGTGAAGCATTTTGTCAATTTTACATTTTTATGATGTGTCAATGAGACTAAATGATCTGCTGAGGAAATTTTGGTTTAAATTCCCATTGATAGATCGATTCAGTAATTGGTGTAGCTCTTGACATTACTGTTGTAATGGAAATTCCAGGACTTTGTAAACCGATATGCAACAAAGCTGACCATGTTCTTCCTTATGTAATATTTTAGTAGGTAACTTTAAGTTCTATTTCAGTAGAAATCAGATTTTAAAAATGTGTCAAACTGACTGGAAGTCTATCACTAAATCTTTAAGGTAGATAAGTTTTCAGTACTGTTAACTTGGTGCAGTATAGCTTTTATGTTAAAAGGATTGTGCTATCCTCTAATGTTGGATACAGAGCAGAGATTTTTAGGATCCAATGCTGTCCTTGATCAGTGCGCAAATGTGCGACTCACTTCAATCCAAACCTGCATTTCCAATAGTGAATCAATTTTGCTCCTTGATGCTTGTCTTTTTCACCCACTGCAACAGATACAGTTGCTGTCAAAGTGGGCAGGTGTTCGATGTGGAAGTAACCTTCTAATGTTACTTATCTCTAGCAGACCTCTTGTCTGATTAGCCTTCCTACTTCTGGGAATAAGCCTGGGCTGAAAATCTTACCATTTCTTTGACAGTGTCATTGTCATTTTCGTCAAATTTCATTGAGTTTCACCCTGAAGTCCAGTGAATTTTCTCTCGCAATCATCCCAAACTCACCTCGTTAACTACCTGCTCTGAGCCTTTTGCACCACTCTTGTCTGATTCTCAACCCAGTTCCTGGCCCAGTTCTGTTTCTCACCACAGCTGTTGCTTGCCTACCTTCGGCATATACTAACATTTACTGACGACCGTGATAGATTTAATAAGCTGTCGTGCAACCAGATAAGCACTGGAATTCCAGAAATGCTCTGCATGCTGCACATACCCACACCGTGACAGGCAAAGGAAATTTGGCGCCTTGCTTTGAGCATAGGGACCTCGAGTCTGATAAATGGGGTTGTGTTGTCCTCTTCCCTGAGGACTGCCAGAGGAGGGCATGCCACCAGACTCTGCCAGCCTGGCCTGAGGTCCCACCCAGATCAGTGAAGTCTCCGTGTTTCTGGAGGAACAGCCAACAGTATAGGAGGAAGGTCAATGCTGTTTTTCATTATGCTAAGGTAAGTGCCACCATCTTCTATCTGCAGCCTCATTCTTGTGCTATCTCTGCTATTGCACACACATCCCACAAAGGTTCATGCTCTACCACTTTCACTATTGCATGCAACATCTTCCTTCACTTGCCCTGAGAGCACCCTAAAACACCCTAACCTACTCACCCTACATGGCCTCTGTACTACCCACTCGGGATACCTCACCATCTTTGCCTTCCCAGCTGTGCCAACACTAACTGTTGTGCTGCCCTTCCATTCGTTCCCCACTCTAGCTGGAAAGAGCCAGGGAAGGTGGTGGAGGGCTGCAGAAGACCAGTCAACCCCATCACAGGCAGGAGAAGACCCCATGATGTCGTCAATTAGGGACTTCATATAAATGCGCACACAGCCTCAGGAGCAGCAGGCAGGCTTGCCAGGAGCACTGGGCAACATGACACAAAGGTTGCAGCCCTGCAGCAATACATTTGGGACCCTGCTGCCTCAGATAGGCAGTGTTAGTTGGCACCCAGCAGGAGTGGGAATATCACAGGCCCCGGAGGAATCTCCCATCAGGATACTCAGGAGGAGGCTGGGCCTTCCATCTCGCCCTGCCTACCACCCTCCAGCCCTGAGGAAATTCAAGCTGCAAAGACTGCACTTAAATCTGGTAAGAATGCATTGAGTATGTCTGGGCTGTCTAGACAAAGGTCACCCAACCAAATCTCAGAAGCCAATGGGCTTCACAGTAGAGCAGATTCCCTCCATCTCAGCTGCAAAACCTGAATCTCTACTGAGACATCGTGGTAGAACAAAGAAATAGAAGACCCATCTAAGGGCACATGGATGACATTTTATCGTGGATAAGTTATCACTCTTGCAGATCAATGTTTTGTTCTCACCTATCTGTGTGTGTGAGAATCTCTGCAACAGCGATGATTACTAAGTCATCTATCCTCACCTCTGCGTGATATTGCATGAGTCGAGGTGTGAAGAGAGCAACTTGTCTATCATGTGCAGGCTGTCAGTAAATTGCAGGAGACTTGACTTTGGCAACTACGCATCTTCCCAGCTGCACAGATATATTGCTTTTACTTCAGAAGCATTTGTGGGGTTCAGCAATTTTCCTTCATTTAAATGGTCATGATTGCCTGGGGCGAGGAGTTGGATTTCAGAGTAGGCAAATGCCTAAAGTTCACGAGTGTAGTTCTGAGGTGTGTTCCAGCATCAGTGTGTGGAGGTATACATGATACACACCCTTTAAAGGGTCTCACATTGCTTGAACTGGAGCCCGCTCCCTTGAGGTTAAACACTTAACCTGCCTACTCTGGGTAAAGTTGCAGCCATTTTCATCTCCATTGCTCACTTGTTATTTACATGATGGAAGGAAAAGGGTGACCACTTCTTGGACAGGGATTTCCAGGCTTCAACTTTCCATGTGGCAAACCCCCAAACATTGCCTTCTGATAACTCTGCCCATCAACCCCATAGGCTTTGCACCTCCCCAAGTTTCTACTCAACCCATCTATTTGAGTCTGTACCTGCCCTTTTTGATCCCACTGTGAGTGAACCCTCTGTATGACTCCTTTCCCTCCCATGTTCTATTATTGAGTTGCTCCCCCTTCAGAATTTTATTCCTCCCGCAGCCCAGTGTTCTGCCCCCATGATGAAGTTCCCTAGCCTCCCTACCGCAGCGCAGGCCACCTAATAACACATCTCGGTTTTCCATGGGCAGAACCCATGCACTGACCATGGCCTACCCCCTTGAATGACTTAGCCAGTATGATGTGACCAGACCCTTGACTGATATCTATTCAGTTCCTCGGTTATGTTTCTACAACTCCCTGGATTGATTGCAGTGGAATTGCAGGGTTGACCGTAACCAAGTCCTTGACATCTGATTCTTGACCACGTTCCAACCTCTTGACGGGTATCAGAGGCTGTGTTTGACTTCACTTTACTGGCACCCTGACTGATTGCTGCCTCCTGGACTTCATTGAGGCTACTCCTCTTAGACTTTGACTCATGCCCATTTGCTTGCAGCTAATGCAGCATAAGCTGCTAGCATGTTGTGCACATGTATAGCACCGTTAAACAAGATATCCAGACTGATGGCTGCTGGTAAGCATGCTGTTTGGCTTTGTACCTGTGCTAAGCCTTTCAGCCTTGTCTGAGGGGCCATGGTGCAAGAAGACAAGTCGAGGTAATGATGCTGTGGGCATCTAGATAGGCGCTAAGTGATTGTGCTCTGAGAGCAACAGCCCCAAGATTCAGCCTGCTCCAATTTGTGAGTTGAGTGCCTGTTGCTATGCGCAATGTAACCTTGCAACAATATTGCAATGATGGATGCTAGTGGGCTCGTAAGTACAGCATGACAGTGCAGAAGATGTATTTAAAGTGAAGTGGAGATGCGCCAGAGGGTGTGTGAGGCTGATACATGTCCGTAGATGTGGCCGCTGTCCATGGAGTGTCCCTCGGATATTGATGGTGGATATCCAAGTATCTGGGAGCAAGTAGACTCGCACCCCAACTGGCATTGCCATCTACTTGGGCTGACTTTCATGTTGGCAATTCTCAGAATAATTTTGATTTAGTTTGTGGTAGAATAGCAACCTAATAAAGCAAGATTTAGTAATAATGAATGAAACCCTGCAAATAGGCAGTGTGAGGCCTACAAAAAGCATCCCATTTTAGCTTCTGACCTCTGTTGTACCGACATCGAGAAAGGCCTTGCTTGACATTACATGGAATTTTGCCCAGATTTCTCAGCATAGCCCACATCATTCAGGGCCTGGGGAGATTCCAACCTCTGTGACTGACTATAGCAACCTGCCTTTGTGAAGCTGTGGAAAAGATTTAGAAGCATTCTTGGCAAGCTTAACATAGGAATAATTCCAAATACAAGAAAAATCCATGTGGAGGGAAAATAAAAGACTGTTGAATTAGCCAGTGTTAATTGCATTCCTTTCTTCCTTACTGTTTGGTATGGTTTCTGTTTTCATGGTGAACCTCTTAAGTCAGCTTAATGATGGTGGTGCATTGATTCCTCATGACCTGTTTCTCATGGGTTTCATTTCCAGGCAGAGTTTGAGTGTATTAACCCAAAGAAGAAGCAAAAAAAGCGAAGATACAAAAACTCGGGGATAGTGAGTTTCAAGTTGTGCCAGGTGAGTGTTTTGTAGATTTTTGTTTTATAAAATTTGTTAAAAGTTTTATTCAGTTTTCTATCTAATCAATTAGTGTCTGTTGAGTATGTGATGCCAACCACTGCCAGCATGAGGTTTGGTAGATTGCACCAACTGTCGTCGTCCTCTTCTGAAACAAAATCTGAAATTACTGGAAAAACTCAGCAGGTCTGGCAGCATCTGTGGAGAGAAATCAGGGTTAACGTTTCAGGTCCAGTGACCCTTCTTTACAGCCCCCTTTTCTGGCAATTTCTGTGTATGTTTTCTGATTTCCAGCATCCACAGTTCATTCATTTTTTATTGTTTGTTTTGCATCCACATCTTCTGATTTGAGGAAACAGGGTGTCATTGGTCTAAAGTGGTAAAGGTAACCCACTGGGTCATCTGACACAAATAGTCTTAGTGTTATTTTGTTAGTTTATTTCATGATTGTTACTAAAATTATTGGGAGACCTATGATACATGTCTGTTCTTAAGATCCTTTTCCACCCAGATCCTTATATCATAAGATTTGGAGGAACTTGATACAGTCTCTAATATTAACCCTTTCAGACCTTGTATAAGTTCAGTTCAACTGTCAAGTACCTTCAGTGACCCTTCCTGTCCTGTCCAATCTATCACCACAACTATGTGCAGGTTTGTATTTTGTCTTGCTGACATTAATCATATTTGCCAGAGGTTTTAGAGTAGATTTGTAGCTCGAGTTGTGGATGTTGTGGTTGCTTGGCTCGCCGAGCTGGTTCGTTGTTCCGCAGACGTTTCATTACCCTGCTGGGTAACTGCAGTAACACAAAACTACGCCAAAAAGAAGAAGAGTACTTCCTCCAAGTATTCAATGACAACGGATACCTGAAAAACTGGGTCAGAAGATGCCCATTACATGAATGGCACCAGGAAGATACTGCACACCCCGACACACTCCTCATGCTACCTTACATCAAGAACACTTCTGAACTGACCGCAAGACTCCTACAACCACTGGGCATCAGAGTAGCACACAAACACGCATCAATCCTACGCCAACTGCTCAGTCGGACCAAAGATCCAATACTCACTATGGACAGGGCTGATGTCATATACAAGATTCCCATCAAAGACTGCGACAAATGTTACATTGAACAGACAGGAAGAAAATTAGCCACAAGAATACACTAATATAAACCAGCAACAAAAAGACACGACCAATACTCCCCCATCTCCATCCACATGGATAAGAAAAACCACCAGTTTGATTGGGACAATACCAGGATCCTGGGACAGGCCAAGCAGAGAGAAGCATGGGAATTCCTAGAGGCCTGGTTCTCCACTAAGAAGGCCATCAACAAACACATTTGAGCTAGACCCTATATGTACTCCACTGCGAAGGAAAACCGGAAGTGAGGTAACCCAGCTCAATGGACACCAGACTTTAAATGACAGGTGGGAAAACACAACGGTGCTTCATCGGAGTCTGCACTGATGATGTTACCCAGCAGAGTAATGAAACATCTGTGGAATAATGAACCAGCTCAGCAAGCCAACCAACCACAACATATTTGCCAGAGTATGCGTGTTTACCTCTTTACTGTTCACAATGAGATTTCTTGTTGTTATAAATCAGAACGGATCAGGTCTTTGATTGACTTTGGTAATTTCATTTTCAACTTTACTATTTTCCCTAGTTTATCAAAATTACATTGGCCCAGGATTCTGATCAGGGTTGGAAACCTGGTTTCCTCTCAATCTCCGAATACGGGGTAGACCATTTTAGGGTTGCGAGAAGCAGGCATTTCTTCACTCAAAGTGTAGTGAACCTGTGGAATTCTCTACCACAGAAGGCTGTAGAGCCAAATCGCTGAATATATTCAAGAATGAGTTAGATATCTTTGTAGATTTTAAAGGCAAAAGGAAGTATAGGGAGAAAGTGGGAATATGGCAATGAAATAAAGTTTCAGCTGTTATCGTATTGAGTGGCAGAGCAGGCTCAGGCCAAATGGCCTACTCTGGGTCCTAGTTTCTATGTTAGTTAAATCAACTGGCCTACCCTCATCTGGGAAAGAAGACGTAACAGTGAAAGCCAGTTATAATGCAGACAATGGAGTCCAAAAATTGAACCACGTTATTGTTGAGCTTTGGATAGCCATCCTGTAGAGGAGCCAATAAATTAGAAAAGTGAGTTTGGTTTAGACATAAACTTGCTACAATGTTTAAAATGTAACTTGTGTTTAAAATATTTAAGAAGTACCTATAATTTAAAATAATCCTGCATTTCCAAGAATCTGTCTCCAGAACTAACATTAGATTGCAGTACATTCGGTCTCAATTCTTCTTTGAAAAATTAATGCCTCACAGCGCAGGGACCTGGGTTCAATTCCACCCTCGGGTGACTGTCTGTGTGGAGTTTGCACATTCTTCCTGTGCCAGCGTGGGTTTCCTCCGGGTACTCAGGTTTCCTCCCACAATCCAAAGATGTGCAGGTTAGGTGGATTGGCCATGCTAAATTGCCCGTGGTGTTCAGGGATGTGTAGATTGGGGGGGT